CTCGGTGTCTACTAAAAAAATACCAAAGGTAGTCGGGCATGGTGGCGCGCCTATAATCCCAGCTACTTGGGAGACTGAGGAGAATCACTTGAACTGGGGAGGCAGAGGTTACAGTGAGCTGAGATCGCGCCACTGCACCCCAGCCTGGGTGACAGAGCGAGACTGTGTCTCAATCAATCAATCAATCAATAAAATTTAAAAAATAAACTCCTGAGTGGCTCCCCACTGCCCCGAGGATTGAGCGCCAGGTCCTTCATATTACCATCCCTGAGTGTACCCTCCGGGGCCACCTCCTAAGCATAGTCCTCTGCGCTCCAGATGAACCATCCGTGAAGGTACAGCGGTCTGTACTCTGGCGCATTCTGCTCCCTCCACACCCCGCCCCCCAACACTCTTCCCAGTCCCACTCACTCTACATTATGGCTTTAATGCCATGTGTTCAGGGAGCCTTTTCTGATCCTCAGGTCAGGTTCCCGGTCCACTCCCACAGCCCCCCGCGTGTCTCCTTGGCAACAGTAATTGCGCTTGTAATTTCCTGCTCTGCATCTGTCTGCCTGCCTGTCCATCAGACTGTGGGAGAGAAAGACCTATAGTCTCACTCACACTGACCACAGCCCCCATGCTTCGCGTTGTGCCGAGCAGACTTGTTTGGTGAGTGAATGAATGAAGGAATGAATGAAGCCCTTTGACTATGGCCGGGGGCTTACCCAGTCAATTGGAGAGAAAAAAATTGAGCAAAACCACAAAAAATTGTAAACATTTGCTCATGGTTCCTCTCTCACCGTAGACGTGAAAGTGTGGACTTGGCCAAGCTGGCTTTCTGGGCTAATGCCCAGAACATTCTGCCAAGCCCACCCTGTAGCCCTCTCATGCCTCAAATCCTGTTCTTCCCTTGGCCTCCCCAACTCTGCAGGGAAAACAATGTATTTATTCTTTAACAAAAGGTAATAACATCCTTGCTTACCAAAAGAGTGTAGCAATGCAAGGAGGCCTCAGTAGCCCAGTTACCAGCAGGGGCACAGGCTGCCCAGGGTAAAGTACGCACAGTGCCCTGGGAGCCGCGTCTGGAGTGGCTGAGAGGCACCAGAGTGATGTGGGGGCATGTGGTTAGTCTCCTAGCTTCAAACAGTAACACTTCTCCCTACTTTTTTTTTTTTTTTAAAGATAGGGTCTCACTATGCTGCCCTGGTTGATCTTGAACTCCCGGCCTCAAGTGATCCTCCTGCCTCGCCCCCGAAAAATGCTGGGATTACAAGCGTGAGCCACCGCCCCCGGGCTCCCGCACATTCTTAATAGTTCCCACAGTGTTCCCACATCCGTTGGATCCTCACGATATCTTGAGAAGTGGAGCAAATCTGCCCCACTTTGTAGGAAAGGGGGCACAGAGTGGGGGAATGGCTGACCCAAGGTCACACAGAAAGCTGGTAGTACATGAGGATTCAAACCTGAACCCTGGGTCCTCAACTGCTGTATAGTAAAGAGCATTCTTAACCCACAGCGGTAGCCTCAACTCAGCCCCAGCTTGGAATGTGAAGGAACATTCTCAAGGTGCCACAACTACAGATGGGGGATGATGGGTTGGGCTTCCTTCTCCAAACTGTTTGCCAGGTTAACCCTCCAAAAGTCAAGGAGGTTTGTGCCTGCTCTGGTACTCTCTTGCTCTGTGACCCTGGGCAACCTCCTTCACCTCTCTGTGCCTGCTGCAGGGTAGTTTGAGTACAACTGGAGGCAGGAGATACAAAAAGCCTCCTCGGAACCCTCGGCCCACGGCCTGCACTGGGAGTAGGCAGGGGAGAGGGTCCATCCGAGGCCTTGGAGAACAGAGGCCTTTAAGAACAGCACTGACTCCCTGCCAAGGGGTCAGAGATGTGGGTGGGGAGCTGGGGACCATCGGGGAGATTCAGCCAGGCACAACAGGAAACACATCACACAGACACAGACACACACACATAGATACACACACAGACACACACACACACACACCCTGCAAACACGCCCCATTAGGAACCCAGGGGCCAGGGACAATTTGGCCACACTGCAAAGAAAGGAGTGCTGGATTTGTTTAAAAGCTGCGGAGCAGGAGATCCAGGGAATAAACACTTGATCAGTCCCGAATCACCCCGGCCTCAGGAATGACAGCACGGGAACCAATGTTTAGAGGAAATTAAAACTACAGGAGCCAGGGAGGCCTGACATCAGCCTCCACCCCATGCATGCACAACCGGTTAACAATCCACCGTGGACTTCCTCAGCCTCGCACTCTCTGGCCCCAGCAACCTTTCCGCCCTCTTTCTCTTCTCTTTCCTGGTCCTTCCATAGCCAGGTGCCAGCCCAGCCCCATTCTGGGCTTTCTAGGAGCCTGTCCTGTGCACTCACACCTTTGCTCCTCTGTCACACAGGTCCCCCTCCCGGGATATCCCTTCCAGTTCAGATGTCACCTGCTCCATGAAGCTTTCTCTCATCTCTCCAGCCTGGAGAGAGCCCTGCTTGGCATATTTCTACCTCTCCAAGGGCGTGCCAAAGAGCCTGAGGACCAGTGCAGACATTTATGGCCTGGTGGACGCTCCCTTAACACTGTTTATTCGGTCAATTCTTTCCTCCCTCACACGGGGTTTGGCTTAGAGTAAGGTTCAACACATCCTGGCTGAATGACAGACGAAAGTATCACGGTCTCCTCCCTACAATGTGACAAACTTTCATCCTTCTTTCAGACCAGCAAATAGGTGGCCTCTGTCCCTGTGCTGGAAGAGCCAGCACCTAGCCCTGGACAGATAGATGACGGGCCTTTGTTCTTGGATTCCAGAGACATCCCCCAGGCAAAGAGGTTAGATGTTAGGTAGAACTTCCCAGTGTGGGTTCAAGGTTGGAAAAGAAGGGAAAACTAAGCAGTACTGAAGCAAAATACTCTCACTTGGGTTATCTCACCCTTCGGAAATAAGCGTTATCATCTCGTCTTGCAGATGAGGAAACTGAAACTCAAGGGTGATGCTTCAACTAGACCAAAGTCCCTGTGGGGAAGGGGAGGGGATGGGGCTCAAACACAAACTGGTTTGATGCCAAAGCCTGGGCTCTTCACAATGGGCTGGTGGGCTTCTTGGGTTGTAAGGATCTATAAAGTGTCACCAAAGCAGAGTGAGGGGACCTCTTTCTTTTTTTGGTGGTTTTTAAGGAAGAAAAAATTTTCTTTATGAGTAACTAAGGGTGGGCTTAGAGGCAGAGGGGATCGATCATACAACCTCAAAGTCTCACGGCCTTTTAGTGCCCATACACTGAGACTTTAAATCCAGTGCTGGTCCACAGATAGTGCACTTCCTGTCACGGAAACGTCTAGGCAGGGCATTACAGCGGAGATTCCTAATGGAGGAGGTAGGTTGAGTCCCAGGTGGTCTCTAAGCACCTTCAGGTATAGAACTAAGCCATAATTCCACTGCTTCTGACTCTAGTGAGGCAACTGGTGGTGCCTAAGTGAGGAAGACCCTAGCTGGGTGAGAAGAGAGAAGCCTTGGAAGGGAGAGATGGGGGGGGTTGTAAGGGGACTCCAGCTCTGGGCAGAGCAGGGGTTGGGAACCACTGTGGGACTCTTCAGCTTTACAGGGGGTCCCGTCCTGCTCCCATCCAGGCGCCCTCGGGCTTGGCAGCATCATCACAGAGAAGAGGAGGTGGCTGGATCACAGGTACTGGCAGCCACCGTCCCAGGCATATGCCCTCCTCAGCCCTATATGGTGACTTGGACCCACTTCACAGGGCACAGAACAGAACTAGGAGAGGGAATCAGAGTGGCTGGTCCATGGGGAAAGAAGCCAAAGAGAAGGAGATGGCTCCCTCCCCGTGACGGAGAGGCCAGCACCCTGCCCTGGACAAGTGGACAAAGGGCCTTTGCTCTTGGGGTCCAGGGACAATGCGCCTCCCAACAGCCCCCCAGGGAGCCCAGCTTGGATCAAATGAATTTCTCTTCTGGGACTTCAGAGAGCCCCATGAAACGCCCCTCCCCAGTTCCCCTTCTCCCCGGTACCCCTGCCTATCGCAGTCAGCACTTGGCCTCAGCAAGTCCCTTCTCTGAGGACCCATCCACCGAGAGATGCTGGGGAGACCGGATCGCTGGGTGCAGGGCCCCCGAGTGTTCCCTGGTCTCTGACAGCACCGACCTAGCTGTCCCGCCACCACCTACACCCCTTAGGCCACAGCTGGATCAGCAGTCCCAGAGGGCCGCAACGTAGCCCTCCGAATGCGCCGGGAGTGGCCACCCACGGTGCCCCAAGGCGAGCCCCAGACCGACCTCAGTGTCCCGGGACGCTCAGGTCCAGCTGCATCCAGGCACCTCGGAATCGCCGCCACCCGCGAGCCCGACCCAGCCCGGCTGCCCTGGGTCTCCAAGCCAAGCCGAGTCCAGGGACTTCAGAACAACCCAAACCAGACCGCAGCAACCGTCCCCAAAGCGAGTCGGGGACCCCAAGCCCCCCACATCCGGCCGGGACCAGAACCAAGCTCGGCGCGGCCGCCCCCGACGGGACCGAGCGCAGCGCCGACTGGAGAGCCGCGCTCTGCCCAGGCGCCCCCCGACTGCACGCCTTCCAAGGGCCGGGCGGGGGCTGCCGCTGCAGCCGGCGCCCAGCCCCCCGCGAGTCAGGGCGGCCCCGGGTGCCACCCGCGGCGCCGCTGCCCGGGACCGTCGAGGCTGGGTTGGACCAGACCAGACCTCCGGACGCGGCACTCACCATAGCTCGCGTGCTCCTCCCCGGCTCCGCGCCGCTCCCCGTGCCCGGCCCCCGATTCCCAGCTCCGGACTCCCGGCTCCCAGCCCCGCTGCTCGGACAGCTCTGCTGCCTGGCCCCGGCGGCGCGCTCGGCTCCAGCGGGCGAGCTCGCGGCTTCGGCGCCGAGTCCCGGAGGGGCGGGGCCGCCGCGGGGCCAATGGCAGGGCGCGGGGCCGGGGCCTGGGTGGCGCAGCCAATCACAGCCGGAGGCCGCTCTCCCCGCGCCCGCGCGGGCCCTTAACCCTTGGCGCGCTGGGAGCCGGCTGCCCGGGCTGCGCCGGGACCCTGGAGGGCAGGCGCAGGCGGGAGCTGTAGCTTCGGGGTGCGGGGTCCGGACCTTGCCGAGACCGGCGTTGGGAGCAGGCAGAACAGACAAGAGGCTCGATTGTGTCCGGTGCGGGGCGCCGGGAGCCTCGGCGACCTTTGTCTCCTGCCTGGCTCCTGCACTGGAGTGTGACCCAGGGCGCTGCAGCTGCGTGTGTGTGTGTGTGTGTGTGTGTGTGTGTGTTTGTGTGTGTGTAAGAGTGAGGAGAAGAGGAGACAGAAACGGGGGGAGGGGTGGATTCCGCGTGCCCGTGTGTTTATGTGTTAAGGAAAGCCCTGACTATATTTGGGATATGTTGCTCTGTGTGTGTGTGTGTGTGTGTGTGTCCGCTATAGTTGGTGTTTGTTGCTCTGTGTGTGTGTGTGTGTGTGTGTATGTGCTATATTTGAGGTTTGTTGCTGTGTGTGTGTGTCCGGTATATTTGGGGTTTGTTGCTGTGTGTGTGTGTTTGTGTGTGTAAGAGAGGAAGAGGGAGAAGAGACAAAGTGGGGGAGGGGTGGGTTCTGCGTGCCCGTGTGTTTATATGTGAAGGAAAGCCCTGACTATATTTGGGATTTGTTGCTCTGTGTATGTGTGTGTGTGTTTCTGCTTTATTTGGGGTTCATTGCTGTGTGTGTGTGTCCGCTCTATTTGAGGTTTGTTGCTGTGTGTCTGTGTGTCGCTATATTTGGGGTTCATTGCTGTGTGTGTCTGCTATATTTGGGGTTCATTGCTGTGTGTGTGTGTCTGCTATATTTGAGGATTGTTGCTGTGTGTGTGTGTCTGCTATATTTGGGATTCATTGTTGTGTGTGTGTGTCTGCTATATTTGAGGATTGTTGCTGTGTGTGTGTGTCTGCTATATTTGAGGATTGTTGCTGTGTGTGTGTGTCTGCTATATTTGAGGATTGTTGCTGTGTGTGTGTGTCTGCTATATTTGGGGTTCATTGCTATGTGTGTGTGTCTGCTATATTTGAGGATTGTTGCTGTGTGTGTGTGTCCGCTATATTTGGGGTTCATTGCTCTGTGTGTGTGTGTCTGCTATATTTGGGGTTTGCTGCTGTGTGTGTTTGTGTGTCCCCGTGATAGAGGGGTGAGGGAGGGAATGGTGGGAAAGCAGAGAGAAGGAGCCGTGGCTCTCCAGGCATGTGAATTTGCAGGTCCAGGAGAGACACTGTCTCCATGTGTAGGTTTTGTGAGGGCAAGGGAAGGAGGAAGGAACAGAAGACAGCCTGCCTGTGTGTGTGTGTGTGTGTTATGTGGTCTGCATGTTTGGGTCCTGTTGTGCATGCCTGTTAATGTGGTAGAAAGAAACGTGGTGTCCCTGTTGTAAACAAGCTGAGAAAAAACCCTGGGGTGTTGTGGTGTAGTTTGTGTGTGTTGTGTGTGCCCACACAAAAGAGGGACGTGGCTGTGATTTGGTACAACTTTGTGTGTAACCCAGTTTGCAAGAGACATCGAGATAAAAACATTGCGTGTGTGGTGACACTGTGGTCTTTGTGTGTGACCGTTGTGTAGCTTTTGTGATCATCTATATTTGGGTTGGGCTGAGAAATAAACTACTGTGTATCATGCATAATGAGTGCATGTTCGGGACAAAGACCTCCTGGTGGCATTGGGATTTGGGCTTTGAAGGATCTCTAAGAGTTCGTTAGGCCATACAGAATGTTCATGAGGTCAGAGGAAAAGACCCGGGGACTCCTGTCTATCAGCCAGCCGGGTGAGGAGGCTGTAGTGGTGGGTAAGGGGGTGAATTTGGAAACAGATAACTTATTACCAGCACGGAAGAGGAGGAGCAGCTTCCTGCAACCCCTGCCCAGGTGCTGACCCAGAGTGACCCTCGATGTGTCTAGGCACACAGAGTCAGTTCCAAAGCAGACCATCTGCTCCTGGGCAGCTTGTATGGGAACCTGGAGGGCAGTGGGCGGGGAGGGGGAAATAACTTTCTATGTTGCTCCCTCCTTCCAGCAGCATTCCGAATTCTTCAGTGTGGAGGACTCAGGGAGGTCGAAAAGCTCCTTGAGTGCAGCAGTTGGGAGCATGGTGAAGAGGGGAGGGTCTGGCCATGTCCAAAAGGTGACCAGACCTGAAGGTCCAGAGCCTCCTCCATCATGGGGAACTTAAACCATCAGCTTCCCTGGCCTGGTGTCCGATTCCTGACCATTCCTCGGGTGTCTTCCTGAGAATCATAGCCTGATGCCTGCAGAGACATTGAAGATCCAGGGACACACGCAAATGAAACCCAGCTATCCTGGCACTCCACTTGCCAGCAATGTGATTATGGGGGATGCTCTTCTCTCTGAACTCCCGTTTTTGCCTCTGTAAAATGGAGTTCATAGTTCTTGCCCACCTCACTGTACTGATGTGAAGATTTAAGGAGTTAATGTACCTTGTGGGCCTTTTGTAACTTACAAACTGCTAGAAAGCCTTTAAGCATTGCTCCATTTACATAAAGTTCAAAAGTAAGCAAAATTAAACCTGTGCTGTCAGAAGTTAGGTTTGTGTTATCTTTGGGGAGGGAATGACTGGAAAGGGGCACCAGGGAAGCTTCGGGGTGCCAGTAAGGGTTAGGTATGGAGGAGGGGGTAGTTCAGTTGTGAAAAATTGAGCAGTCTCCTTAGGATCTATATGCTTTTCTGTCTCTGTTATTCTCCAACAAGAAGTTTCCAAAAGAAAAAAGGGCCAGGTGCAGTGGCTCATGCCTGTAATCCCAGCACTTTGAGAGGACAAGGCAGGCAGATCACCTGAGGTTAGAAGTTCAAGACCAGTGTGGCCAAGATGGCAAAACTCGTCTCTACTAAAAATACAAATAAATTAACCAGGCAAGGTGGCGGGCACCTGTAATCCCAGCTACTCGGGAGGCTGAGGCAGGAGAATCACTTGGACTGAGGAGGCGGAGGTTGCAGTGAACCGGGATCACGCTGCTGCCCTCCAGCCTGAGCGACAGAGTGAGACTCCATTTCAAAAAAAAAAAAAAAAAAAAGGCCGGGCTCAGTGGTGGATCACTTGAGATCAGGAGTTCGAGACCAGCCTGGCCAACATGGCAAAACTCCATCTCTACTAAAACTACAAAAATTAGCTGGGTGGGGTGACGAGTGCCTATAATCCCAGCTACTCCAGAGGCTGAGGCAGTAGAATCACTTGAACCCGGGAGGCGGAGGTTGCAGTGAGCTGAGATCGAGCCACTGCACTCCAGCCTGGGCAACAGAGTGAGACTCTGTCTAAAAAAAAAAAAAATCAGAAGGTCAGGTATAGGTATTATAACCACATTTTAATCACTCATGAAATGGACATTCTGGAATGCTCTATCAGCCCAGGGCAGAGTACTGGGGACACTAGATTAAGTAAGGTGTGGTCCTGGCTCTATGAAAAAAGCAGAGGAGAGGCCGGGCGCGGTGGCTCAAGCCTGTAATCCCAGCACTTTGGGAGGCCGAGACGGGCGGATCACGAGGTCAGGAGATCGAGACCATCCTGGCTAACACGGTGAAACCCCGTCTCTACTAAAAAATACAAAAAACTAGCCGGGCGAGGTGGCAGACGCCTGTAGTCCCAGCTACTGGGGAGGCTGAGGCAGGAGAATGGCGTAAACCCGGGAGGCGGAGCTTGCAGTGAGCTGAGATCGGCCACTGCACTCCAGCCTGGGTGACAGAGCGAGACTCCGTCTCAAAAAAAAAAAAAAAAAAGAAAAAAGCAGAGGAGAGAGGTGGTGGCTTTCTTGCTTCCGAAAGGGGCACATTAAGGAATGGGGTGGGGCGGGCAGGGAGTGAGGGGCAGCATGCCCAAACCCACTCCAAAGCCACTCACCTGGCTTGACAGCAGAATCAGGACTAGAACCAAGGCCTCCCAAGGTGATGGCTGACTCTCTTCCATTCTACCAGGCTGCTCCAGAAAACGCAGCCCCTGGTCTCATGCTGCTCAAAGGGAAGCAAGTGAGGTTTGCTGCCAACTCTGACCCTTACCCCCACCTCCTCCGGGATCCTCAGAGATCACCTCATCCAAACAGCTTTCTGGGAACGGCCAGCCATAACACGTGCTAAGCATTTATTCTTATGCGCCAGACACTGTGGCAGGTGCTTTGCAGCATTATCTGAGTGATTCTGACAATTCTATATGGTAGATGTTATGATTCCCACATCACCTCCATATTGCAGGTGAGAAAATCAATGTTCAGAGAGGGAAAGTGATTTGCCCGAGGAGACACAGCAGTTCGAGGGGCTTTGCTCCTTTGCTGGCATGCAACTGCTGTTGTGCGCATTCGTGGGCTCGCCACGCCCTCTGACCGACACGAGTGGTTGTATGACAGGAGAAGGTGTCGCTTGTTAGACTGCTGGAGACTGAATGAGATGTGGGGAGTTGCCTCTTCCAAATACTCAAGCCGTTGGGCACAGGGTCTGCCCCATCAGATCATCAGGGCTCAAATGCAGAAAACCAACCTGAACTGGCCAGAGCCAAAAAGAAGAAGCTTCTTTGCCTGTGTAACTCAAAGTACAGGAGCAGAGCTAGCTTTAGGCATGGCTCCAAGAGGAGCTCAGATGATGTCATTAGGATTCAGTCTCATTTACTCTGACTCTAAAGACGGCTTCCCTCCCTGCTGGCCTCATCTGTTGGCCTCATGATGACAAGATGGCTGCCCGTAGCAGTGGCTCACATCCTACTCTCTTATCAACTCCCAACAGAAACAGGGACTCACTTTTTCCTACAGTTCTAATAACCGTAGGAAAACTGAGTCTAGTCAACTGCCACTGAGACGAGTGTCAATTCTTCTGCCAATCACTGTGGCCAAGGGTTCTTATTAGCCAGGAAGTGAGACCCTGGAGATAACTGGCATTGTAGTTTAGGTGTGGGTTTCCAGCCATGCAGCCTCAGGACTCACCAGGATCCAAAAGGAATCTCCCAGAATGTGTGGAGAGACGTGAGTCACAGACGTTCAGTATATGGCCACGGCTATCACTGGCATTATTCTTCCTCCGCTTTGCCTCTGTCATCATCTTGTACAGAATAGGTGTTTGGTAATGACTAATACACAGTAGGTGTCTAGAGAATCCCTTTTGTTTGGCTGACTTTTTGCTTTTAGAGTAATACCACGTGCCAGGTCAGAGAGAGGCTGGACACACTGAGCGACCCGCAGGCACGCAGACAGAATGAGACTCACTGCAAGAGCTTTTGAATTTTTAATGTTGTTTTGTCTTCCATAACTGAGCTGAAATACTGTCTAGGGCACCCGGGGAAATCACCAGACTCTCCAAGGAACAGTAACCAGCCTGTCTAAGAGGATACAGTCACGAACACAGCAGAAGCAGCTCTGAAGAGGCTGGCAGGGGAGGGGACTCCGTGCTCAGAGGCAGGGTGCAGGCAGGCAGAGCTGGTCAGGCTCAATGAGGCTCTTCCTGACTCATCTAACCCTCCAGTGAGGTAGCCAGGACCCCTCCCCCTGCCCTGGGCCCCTGATGAAAGACTGGGGATCAGGCTATCCCCCCTGACCCCCCTCTCGTGTCTCCCTGGGCCACCAATTACTCTGATTCAACTGGGCAGTTGAGTTTCTGTGAAGGACAGAGACCCACGAAATCCAGTAATCACTGCTATTTATCGAGTCTGTGCCAGGCGCCATACTGCGAACTTCACATGATTTAAATACAAGAGCAATGGAATATACTTAGGATACTTAACTTTATCGCCGCTTTTACCTTACTTTTTCTTCTCTCTGCCCTGATTTCCTTAATTAATTTTGGGAAAAAAAAAAGAAACTATTTTTTCAAATTTCGAATGTAATACATGGTCACTCTAAAACAGACAATACGGTCCAGGCACCATAGCTCAGGCCTGTAATCCCAACACTTTGGGAGGCCAAAGCAGGAGAATTGCTTGAGGCCAGGCGTTCACCAGCCTGGCCAATGTAGTGAGACCTTGTCTCTACTAAATATAAATATATATATACGTACACATATATATTTTTTGTTTGTTTGTTTTTGTTTTGAGATGGAGTTTCGCCTTGTTGTCCAGGCTGGAGTGCAATGGTGTGATCTCAGCTCACTGCAACCTCCACCTCCTAGATTCAAGCTATTCTCGTGCCTCAGCCTCCCAAGTAGCTGGGATTACAGGTGCCCACCACCATGCCCAGCTAATTTTTGTATTTTTAGTAAAGACAGGGTTTCACCATGTTGGTCAGGCTGGTCTCGAACTCTTGACCTCAAGTGATCCACCCGCCTCGGCCTCCCAAAGAGCTGGGATTACAGGCATGAGCTACTGCAACTGGCCTCTACTAAATATATTTTTAAAAAATTAGTCGGGGCTGGGTTTGGTGGCTCACACCTGTAATCCCAGCACTTTGGAAGGCCGAGGCAGGTGGATCACGAGATCAGGAGATCAAGACTATCCTGGCCAACATGGTGAAACCTCGTCTCTACCAAAATACAAAAAATTAGCTGGGCGTGGTGGCATACACCTGTAGTCCCAGCTACTCCGGAGACTGACGCAGGGGAATCACTTGAACCCGGTAAGTGGAGGTTGCAGTGAGCCGAGATTGCACCACTGCACTCTAGCCTGGCGACAGAACAAGATTCTGTCTCAAAAAAAAAAAAAAAAATTTAGTCGGGCATGGTGGCACAAGCCTGTATCCCAGCTACTGGGGAGGCTGATATGGGAGGATCACTTGAGCCCAGGAATTCAAGACTTCTGCACGACACCCTGTCTCAAAAAGAAAAAGAAGAAAGAGAAAAAAGTAAAATAGATAACGCAGAAATGAATACAATGGGAAGAAACAGTCCCTATAATCTCACTCCTCAGATATTAACCATTAGAAACTCCTTGATGTGATTCTGCGTTTAGCTGAATTGACAAATGTATGCCCATTTTGGGAGAGGGAAAACATTATTAACGTTTTCAGAGCCTCCTTCCTCCCTGTCCTCTCTGAGGAAGGAAACTTGGTGTGTTAGGCAGCTGCAGCCTGGGCTTTATCCTGCGGATCTGGGTAATGGGTGGAGGTGGGGGAGAAAGAAGCTACAAGAGAAAGGGCAGAGGTTGTAGGGTGGGAAAAATGGGGAGAGGCTGAAGTTTTGAGGGAGTGTTTGGGGGATCCAGACGCAGATTTGGGGGCTGCTGTGCTGTGAGATACTGAAAAAGAGTGAGGGGTCAGACAGTGAGAGAGAGAGAGAGAGAGAGAGAGAGAGAGAGAGAGAGAGAGAGAGAGAGAAAGCAGCAGGGAGGAAATTGGAGGAAGTTTTACTGAGATTATGGATGATATCTGCTTTAACATTCTCAAAAGAATTGGATAAATATTTAAATTGCTTTGCAGTTTTGTTTGTTTGTTTGTTTCAGAGGAGGAAATAGTGTTTCTAATTCAACGGGGGGCTGAGACTGGCTTTGGGTGGAGTAGCTTTACCCAGATTACTTTTTTATAAACAGAAAGCTCAATTACCTTATCATCATAAAAAGAAAAACTGCTAAAATATCTTGTCTAGGTAATGTATGCCAGTCACTGTGCTAAGTACTCCTCTGTA